TGCAGCACAGGTCTGGTCATGCCAAAATCCTTCAGTGTTTGCTTGTCTGGAAAAGACTTAATTTCTCCATCAACTGTGAAACTTAGTTTTGAATGATACAAAATTCTAGGCTTAAAGTTGTTCTCTTTAAGAAGCCTGAAGATGGGGCCCTACTCCTTTCTGGTTTATAGGGTTTCCACTGAGAACTCTGCTGTTATCCTGATGCGTTTCCCTTTGTAGGTAAGTTGTTGCTTACATCTAGCTGCTTGTAGAATTTTCTCCTTCATTTTGACTTTGGCCAGGTTAATTACTGTGTGTCTTGGAAATGTCCTCTTTGCTATGATTCTTCCTGGAGTTCAATGGTCATCTTGTATCTGGAGGTCTGTATCTCTGGTGGTACTAGGGAAGTTCTCCTCAATAATTCCCTGAAATAAAATTTCCATGCATTTAGCTCTCCTTCTTCTCCCTTGAGGATACCTATAATTCATATGTTAGTTTGCTTCACGTAGTCCCATATCTCTCTGAGTGATTGTTCCACCTTTTTGTTTTCTTCTCTGTCTTTTTAAATGACTGCGTTAGCTCAAGAGCCTTGTTTTCAAGCTCTAAGATTCTTTCTTCTCCTTAGTCTGTTGCTCATGTTTTCTGTCTGTGTTCTGAAATTCTCTAAATGACTCTTTCATTTCTTTGAGTTCTATTATATCCTTCCTTATGTTGTCTAACTCTTTTGTGACTTTTTCATTAATTTCCTGAAATATTTTTTTGACTTCTTTTTGTTGGTTTTCAACCTTCTCTTCAATTCCATTTATCTTATTTGCCATCCATATTATGAACTCCATTTCTGTCATTTCAACAATTTCCTTGTAGTTTGGGTTTGCTACTGTGGCTCTATTGTGATACCTTGGGGGTGCTGATCTGTTTTGATTTTTCCCCAGTGTATGTTTTTGTCTGCTTTGTCAAAGATTATATGGCTATATGAGGATGGTTTTATATTCAGGTTCTTTGTTCTGTTCCACTGGTCAATGTCCCTGTTCTTGTGCCAGTAGTACCAACATGTTTTAATTACTGTAGCCTTGTAATATAGTTTGAAGTCTAGTAAATTGATACCTCCCATTTTGTTTTTATTGCCTAGGATTGCTTTTGCTTTACAGGGTCTTCTCTGGTTCCATACGAAGCATACAATTATTTTTTCTATATCTGTGAAAAATGATGTTGGTATTTTAATAGGGATTGTATCGACTCTGTAGATAACTTTGGGCAGTATAGACATTTTAACAATGTTGATTCTGCTGACCCACAAGCATGGTATTGTTTTAGACCTTGTTTTGATTTTTCATATTGCCAGGGTTCTTTTGCTGGTTTCTTCTCATCTGAAATCTCTTTTCTCAACACAGGGATAGTAGGTTTGCAGGACACCTGTTCTTTGCTAGGAGCTCTCCTGCTTAGTTAGAAGGGCAGGTCCCTAAACTTCTCTTTATAAACCATGGGAGCAAGAAGAGATTGGAGTGAAATATTTCAAGTGTTGAAGGGAAAAAAATCCACCAGCCTAGACGTACACATGAAAATTATCTTTCCCAAGTGAAAGATAAATAAAGACTTTCTGAGACAAATAAAAATTAAAGGAATTTTCACCATTAGACTTGCTTATCAAGAAATGGTAAAAGAATTTCTTCAGAAAAGGAAAATGGTATACCTCAGATGTTTGAATCTACTACTACTGCTCCTACTACTAGTAATTTTTATTTATTTATTTTTTTGCGACAGAGTCCCACTCTGTTGCCTGGGCTAGAGTGCCGTGGCATCAGCCTAGCTCATAACAACCTCAAACTCCTGGGCTCATGAGATCCTCCTTCCTCAGCCTCCCAAGTATCTGGGACTACAGGTGTGTGTGTGTGCCACCACATCCAGCTAATTTTTTTCTATTTTTAGTAGAGACTAGAGACAGGGTCTCACTCTTGCTCAGGCTGGTCTCAAACTCCTGAACTCAAGCCATCCTCCTGCGTTGGCCTCTCAGAGTGCTAAGATTACAGGAGTGAGCCACCGCACCCTTTCACTTTCTAATGAAAGAAAGAATATTAGAGAAGGAATAAATGAAGGTAAAATAATATATTTTATTTCTCTTATTAACTGAATTAACAGATAATATTTCATTCTAAATAATAATAGCAATGACGTTTTCAGTGAATCTAGTTTATGAATATGTGAAATTAATGACAGTTATATGTTAAGAGATTAGAGTGAACAATTGGGAATAGTCTGTTTCAACATACTTGTACTATACATAAAGCTGTATAGTGTTATTCGAACATGGGCTTGGATTAGTTGTAAATGTATATTGCAAATTTTAGGGCAACCACTAATAGTTTTTAAGTAAATAAATATGCTAAGTGATGAGAAACAATGGGATTATGTAAAATTCCCAATTAAGAGTGGAAGACAAAAAAATAAGACTAAAGAATAAGAAAAATGAATAAAAAACATTTTCCAATATGGTAAATATTAATGCAAGTATATCAGTAACCATTGTAAACATAAATGGTTTAAATATACTAATTAAAAGACAGAAACTGTCAGTCAGGATGGATAATAAAACAAGATCCAACTGTGTATTGTTTACAAGAAACTCACCCTAAATATAAAGACCCAGATCAAAAGTAAAGGATATAAAGAAAGATATACCATGCTAACATTAGAAGTGGAGAGGATGAGCGAAAGCCGAAGCATAAAAATCTATCTATTGAGTACCATGTACACTATTCTGGTGATGGGTACACTAATAGCCCTGACTTAAGCATTATATAATATAATTCATCCATGTAACAAAAAACACGTGCAGCCCCTAAATCTATTGTAATAAAAAAGTAGTGGTGTGACTTCACAAAAAAAGAGAGCAAGATATACCATGCTAACACAGATCGAAAGGTGAGGTAGCAATATTAATTTCAGAGAAAATAGACTTCAGAGCAAGGGAATTATTAGTTATAAACAGGTGCATTATATGATAATAAAGGAGTCAGTTCTCCAAGAGGACGTAGCAATCCTTAACGTGTATGCACGTAGCAACAGAGTACCAAAATATATAAGTTAAAAACTGACACAACTGGGAGGCAAAATAGATGAATCCACTATTAGAGCTAGAGACTTTACCATCTCTCTATCAGTAACTGACAGATCCAGGCAAAAAATCAGTAAGGACATAGTTGAACTGAACAGAACCATTAATTGACTGGATCTAATTGACATTTCTAGAATACTTTATTCAACAACAGCAGAATACACATTCTTCTCAAGTTCATATGGAACATTTACCAAGATAGACCAAATTATGGAGCATAAAACACATTTTAAAAAATTTAAAAGAATACAAATTATACAACATATGCTTTCAGACCAAGTGGAATTAAACTAGAAATCAATAATACAATGATATCTAGTAACTCTCAAAATAACTGGAGATTAAACAACACACTTCTAAAAACATAATCTGTTCCTGGTTAAGAAGAGGTTCTGACTTCTATGCCCCCTTAGCCTCTCACTTTTGTGTCACTGTTCTTAGGAAAGCCCATCCTCTTAAGTCTCAGCCCTCTTAATGGAAACAAAAGTGCGATTAGCTCCCTGTCCCAGGATATGTGACCTAGCCCCTGAGCTTTCCCTAAGGCAAGAAAGACTATGATACACTTAGAAGCATTGAAGCCATTTCCTATTAGTTTAAGGTGTAGAGGAAGGTAGATCTCAACTGTCCTTCCTGTGGTCTCTGAAATCCATATTCATTAAAAGGATTTAAGGTATAATATTATGCTTAGGATCACTGGATTTAACATGTACCAAATGTGGATTTGAATCCCTGATCCATTAGTGACTAGCTGTATGACGTTGAGCAAGTCACTCCACCTCTCTGAGCCTCAGTGTCATCACTTATAAAATGGGAACAATATTAGTACCTTCTTCATTGTGTTGCTGTGAAGATTAAATGAGCTGATGCACCTACAGTGTTTAGCAGAGTGCCTAGAATATAGCAAGTTGCCCATAAATGATACCTTATACTAGATACTCTATTCCCTAAACTCTTATGTGCATATACCTATGCTAAGTATTGTCATGTAGAAGGGAGACAAGAAGAAGTATCCTTAGCCCTGCTCTTAGAGGGCTCAATATCTAGATGGAGGGTAAAAATATTTCACATAAGACAGTCAGCAAATTGTCTGGGACAGGAAATATCTAGGTGAGAAAGGCATGGGTCAGGGCAGGCAACTCAAGGAAGAATTTTATAGAAAAGGAACAACTGAAATAACAGTGAAGATATGAATAAATAAAGGGGCAGTTGAAGGGTATGCTATCTCATGGGCACAACAAGAGCAAAGTTATGGAGGTGAACTAAAATCTGGGTTATCTAGGGGCTGGTGAGAAGACTAGCCTGTAAGAAACAGAGGTGAGGTAGACGGGCAGATTAGAGCAGAATCAAAGGATGCAAAGTCATTTAAATTCAGCTGTAAAGACCTGGAATCATAAAACTCCTAAACTTTAGGGTCCTGGAATCATTGAATCCTGGGTCATGGGGTCCAGGACCATAAAAAAGCATGGACTCTAGAGCTCTGAAAACACAGAGTTTGAACCTACTGTGAGAGGTTCAATAGAACTTTCTTGATGATAGAAATGCTCTAAAATTCTGTGCTGTGTAATACACTAGCCACTAACCACGTGTGGTTATTGAACACTTGAAATATGGCTACTGTAAATGAAGAAGTAATTTTTAAAATTTTCTTCAATTTTAACTATTTTACATTTAACTTTAAATAACTACATGTGGCTAGTAGCTACCATATTGGACAGTGAAGTTCTAGGCTTTGAACTATAGAACCCATAGAGCATTTTCACCCGAGAATCCTAGATTCACAGAATGCTGGAGTCAGAAGGTCTTAAAACCATACACCACTTAAACCTTAGCACCTTACATAGCATGTGCCTTTCTATCTCATGGACTTCAAGCCTTGTCCCATCCCCTTCATTTCATCCATATCCCACAGACTAAAAAGGCCATGAATGTGATCCTCAGTGGCCTGCAGGCCAACGACTACTTCAACATCATCTCCTTTTCTGACACAGTTAGTGTCTGGAAAGCTGGGGGTTTGATCCAGGCCACCAACCAGAGTGTTCACAGTGCCAAGGACTACTTGAGTCACATGGAAGGTTGTAAGTATTAGACCTACCCACGCAAATGAGCAGGCTGTGGTGATGTGGGAAATTCCTGAAACCCTCTCTTCATCCCCCCCATCCTCCTCATCTCTCACAGATCCTATTTCCCTTTCCTTGTGGAGCAGAGCTGCTTCTCCATGTATTTTAGGACACATTTCTCTTTGTGCCTGAGTTTTCTCCTCTTTAAAACAAACATTCAGAAGAATTTGCTAAGACTTTTAAAACATCAATAATCTAGATATTTATTTCCAGGCATTTTCCTAAGCTACTGCCCTGATTCTGGCTTTTGATCAATCCTCTCTCAGATAATTACTGAAGTCTCCCCCACCCACCACCTCCAATCAACTGAGGCCTTTCTCCCTTTGTAACAAGAAGGTGGGGGTTCTTGTTGGTGGCTGCCAGTCTGACTAGGGAATGAGACAGCCCTCCAGGAAACAGGCAAAAACAGTCTAAGACAGGGAGTGATAAAATCCAAGGACATGTGGGCTCAACTGTCAGATCTCAGGAAGCTCAAGTGGCGGTGGGAGAGTTGGGAAGAGGAAGCAGCAGACACAGCCTGAGTAAAAATAAGATGTGACTGAGCCTGAGAGTTTGGTAAGGTGCCCAGTGTATCTGCAATGGGGGTAAAAGTGACCAGAGAAGATTTTCTTACAATCTTCTCCCCAATTAGGGACCAACATCAATGCAGCTGTGCTGGCAGCTGCTTCAGTGCTAAACCAAAGCAACCAGGAACCTGGGAGGGGCCCCAATGTGGGGAGGATCCCTCTTATCATCTTCCTGACAGATGGGGAACCCACAGCTGGTGTGATGACCCCCAGTGTGATCCTCTCCAACGTCTGTCAAGCGCTAGGCCACAGGGTGTCCCTTTTCAGTTTGGCCTTTGGGATGATGCTCATTTCCCACTGCTGTGTCGCCTGTCCCTGGAGAACTGGGGCATAGCCCCGCGCATATACAAGGACACTGATGCAGCTCTACAGCTGGAGGGACTCTACAAGGAGATCTCCATGCCTCTGCTGGCAGATGTGCGTCTGGACTACCTGGGTGGCTTGCTTGGGGCTTCCCCTTGGGCTATTTTTCCCAACTACTTTGGTGGCTCAGAGCTGGTGGTGGCAGGCCAGGTGCAGCCAGGTGAGCAAGAGCTAGGCATCCACCTGGCAGCCCGTGGCCCCAAGGATCAGCTTCTTGTGGCATGCCACAGCGAAGGGGCCACCAACCGCAGGCAGAAGGCCTTTGGTTGCCCAGCAGAACCAGCTCCCAATGTGGCCCATTTTATCCGCCTCCTCTGGGCCTACATCACCATTGGAGAGCTTCTGGAGGCACACTTCCAAGCCCATGATACCACCACTCACCATCTGCTGGCTGTCAAAGTCCTCAACCTGTCCCTTGAATACAACTTTGTCACACCTCTGACTTCACTGGTCATGGTGCAGCCCAAGGAGGACAGTGAGGAGGCCAGGAGACAGACCTTCACCACAGCTGGGCCAAGCACCATCACACCCTCACCTAGCAGTAGACATGGCCTAGGGACAATCACATCTCAGCCAACCTTAGTGCCCAAGATCTCCCCAGAATCAAGGCCTATGAAACCAAAGTTCTACTTATCCTCTACTACTACTGCCTCTACCAAGAAGATGCACAGTTCCAAGGAGTTGAAGCCAACGGGCCAGAACCCTAGTACCTTACCGACCCCAGCACACCCAAAGCCCAAACTGCCAACCCAACAGGATTTTAGCATCTTGGCCCAGCCAACTCTCAGGACCAAATCTGCTGTCCTTGTGCCCTCAAATTCTGGTGTTCTACTGCCTCTGAAGCCCAGCATTCCATCACACCAGAATTCTGGTATCGTATTACCCATGAATTCCAAGATGCAAGTCCCACCTTTGAATCCTGGCACCCCAGCCCAGCCCAAAGCTGGTACTATGAAACATGTTACTCCACTACATTCCAAACCTGGTGCTTTAGTACACCCCCAGCCTGGGGTACATGCAACACAGTCACCCAAAGGCCTGCCACAGCCCAGACCTGGAGGCTCCACACTTCAGATTCCCAAACACCCACCACACACCAGACCTAGGTTTCCTTCTCCCAAGACTTCAAACAAATTTCCACACCCCAGACCTGGGATCCTGTTACCCAAGAAGCCTTAAATCCCATCACCTCTTAAACCTAGTGCCCCACCGCACCAAACTTCTACAAGCTTATCACTTTCCAAGCTTGGGATCCCAATGCCCCATATACCCCAAATTCCACTTCCCCCTAGATCTACCAGACCCAGGCCTCCACCTCCTCAGAGCCTAATCACATTCCCAAGCACAGTCTTAAGTCCCACAGGTCCCAGCAGTACCATGACCACCTGTGTCCTTGGAGAACCCATCCACACCCCCTTTACTCCCACCTTGCCCACTAGAAGGCTTTGGCATCAGCGTGAACTGATACTGGGGCCTTAGAGCACCAGGAAAGTCCTGGGACCAAGTGGACCAGGAGTCCCAACGATGGGTTTACTCAACATCTCCAGGCCTACGACAGAAGGCAGCCCTCCAAACATGCTGATCTTGCTGCTGCCTTCCGGCACCTTCCCTGAGGCCATCAGTCTGCTCATTCTCCCTGAGGAGCTAGAGCTGCTCTCTGAGTCAATGGTGAAGTTCAAGTTCGTGGAGTCCTTGAACCCACCAGCTTCCTATAACTTTCTCACTCCTGATGAAGATGGTGAGTACCACAGGGAAGAGGTCAAGCCATGAGGGGGAGGTATGAATGGATAGCACCAGGACCTGGGAGTCTAAAAGACTTGTGCAGACTCCAGTGATAGTACAGCTGCTTTCTTGTTTGCTCTGAGACTTTGGGCCAGTTACTTAACTTCTCTGGGCCTCAGTACATAGTCACAGAATTAGAGGCCTTGGGAGAGGAGGGATGTTAAGATTGGGAAGGTTAAACAGAAACAATTGGTCAAGCTGTAGCTTTGACCTTTACTGTGTTATACAAGGGAACTCTTGGTGCTTCCTAAGCAGGGTAGGGGTGCAGGAATATAAACTGAAACATTACTGGGCAAACCAGGTCTGCTTGGCTTTTCTGTGCTCTGTGAACAGCCCCGCTTAATGAGAGGGATAGAAAAATTGGGGAAGATGATGAAAATTATCTTTAAATTTTCCAAAGACTATGAAATAATAGCAGTTGACATTTGTGAGCTCTTTCTATGTGCAGGTACTGCTCTACATATTGTACTTGTAGTCTTTCATGTAACCCTCACAAGAAACAATTAATATCCACATTTTACACATAGTGGAAAGTGAAGCATAAAGAGGTGAAGTAACTTGTTCAATGTCACACAGCTAGTCAGAGATTTGAACCCACACAATCTGGTCCTAGAATGAAGGTGATTTGCCACTTCACTATTCTGCCTTCCGAAGAGAAGGGTGACCTTACAAGGCAGGATTAGAACCAGTTGAGGGTGCCAGTAAGTCATAGGGATGCAAATTTGGGCATGACATCCTAGACACACCTCTCTCCCTCACCCCTTCCAATATCCCATCTATCTTCAGTTCCCAGCAATGTTATCTCTAATATATTAATATTTCACAAATCCATCCACTTCTCACCACCCCAATTGTCACTATCCTAGGGCAGAATACCATTGCATCTCACCTAGAAAACTGTTCTAGCCTTCTCACTTGATCTCCTTGCTTCCTCTCCTGTCCTGTTACAGGCCATTCTTTCCCAGTAGCCTAAGGGATCTTTTAAAGACACAAATCTCTTCATGCCCCTTCCCTACTTAATCCTCATCAAGGATTTCCCATCACACTTAGAATGAAGTCCAAAGTCCTCCTCATGGCCTGCAGGCCCTGCCTGATCTGCCTAGTATCCTCATCTCTCTGACCTCACCTTCTCCCACTCTCCCACCCACTCTCTGAACTCCAGCTCCAGTAGTCACCGCTCTGCTCCTCCAATGGATGTCCTCCCCCACCTCCACTAGGAGACTTCTTTCAAGTTCTCACTGCTTGATAGTCACCTGACCTGCCTCACCTTGCACCTTCCTACTGCCCTCATTTCTTCCATTGGCCCTGGAACTCCAGCTCATGCCTTATATCTCAGCTCAGATCTTTTTACCCACCTTCCCCCTACAGGCTACTTCACGTCTCTACAACTCCCTCAGTCACTCTATTATTTTTTGTGATAGGATTTACCACCATTTGTGATTACAATTTCATTCACCTCTGCCTCCCCCACTAAACTATGAGCTTCACCAGGTTAGATAGCATGTCTGACTTTTTTTTACCACCATATCCCTGATGCCTAAGCAGTGCCTGAAGGAATGAATGAACAAATGAATGTATAAATGCTATGAGGAAGAACTTTGAACATATCTGATCTTGAAAGACTAAGGGGCTGTGAAGAGGGTAAGGTAGGATCTTTTTTGCACCCAGGACATCTCTCTCTCTCTCTCTCTCTCTCTCTCTCTCTCTCTCTCTCTCTCTTTCTTCTTCTTCTTCTTCTTCTTCTTCTTCTTCTTTTTTGCAACAGAGTCTCACTCTTTTGACTAGGCTAGAGTGCAGTGGCATCATCCTAGCTCACTGGAAACTCAAACTCCTGGGCTCAAGAGATCCTCCTGACTTAGCCTCCTGAGCAGTTGAGACTACACAGGTGCCACTATGTCCTGCTAATTTTTCTATTTTTGTAGAAATGGGGTCTCTCTATGTTACCCAGGATGGTCTTGAACTCCTGGCTTCAAAGTGATCCTCCTGATGACGGAGCAAGATGGCGGACGAATAATACCGCCAGACAGAGTGTTTCTGCAGAAAAGACAGATTCTAGCAGAAATTAGAAAAAAGAAGAAAGAAGACGAGCATACAGTGGACGAGGGCCGGAAGGAGGGATACCTGAGACCTCGGGAGACTCCACGGGAGGAGGCTGCGGAGGAGAACTGGAGGCTGAGACCACAGGAGCAGCCTGGAGACCAGCGGGAAGGGTAGGTGGATTTGCTGTTTCCCCTCCCCTGCATTTGGGACTGCTGGTGGGCTCCCCAGCGGGTGGAGAGACCTGCAGACGCCAGACCAGAGACGGCCCCGCCAGCCAATGGTGAGCCTGTAGCAAACGTGGCACCAGGTTCCCAACTTCCTCCGGGCACCTCCGTGAGCACAGACCAAGCCGCGCAGAAGGCACCATATTGCCTCCTCCTCCCCTCCACCGACCCTACCTGCGGCTGCCCAGAGAGATAATACAGGAAACAGCCAGAGGCACCTCCAGAGAACGGGACCTTAACTTTTGGGACCCTACACCTGACTCAGGGGAAATCAGACTGTGAGCTCCCTACCCGCCAGCTCTCCCAGGTGCTGCTGGCACGGTGTTCCCAGGAGAACGGTGCCGACTCAGAGGCTGACAGACATAGACCCAGCTTGGGCTACCTGTGGGTGAATTGGGACCGGAACTCCTCTCCCTGGTGGGGATACAGTTTGAACTCTGGGACCCAGAGGTCGGATCTGCAGACCAGATCCCCTACACCGAGGGCTAGCATTGCCCGGGGCACAGAAGGGTTATAGCATAAAAGCCACTGAGGTGTGTGTGCCTCCCAGGGCCCAGATCAAGCATTCTAAGGGCAACCCCTCCCTCCAGGAGGAGGCTGTGCACCAGCACGCAGGTGCGTTCCGTGCGCAGGGAACCTCCGCCGCCTGCCATGACAGTCCGGGGAGGCCGGTGCTTGTGGTCTGCCTGCTGGCAGAGACAGGATAGCTGGCGAGTTGGGGAGGTGGAAGAAGTGGGCCTCTCCACGCGGGTCCTCAGAACGCCCCGAACCCCACACCTGGCACTTATTCTGTCTGAGTGCAACCATCTCAGCCCCGCCTGACAGCTTTCCGCTGGAAGCAGCAGAATAGAACTTTGACCCTCGCTAACGCCGGCAGGGCAAGGCCTTTACCCCAACCAGCTCCCGCCCAGAACAAGAGTGACACAGGACACAAAATCAACCAGCCATAGCCTGCTCCTCCAAGCAAAACCGCACCCTACTACAGGCCGAGGCATCTTGCCACCTTTCATGGCCCATGTGACCCATATACACGGGAGTGGTCCATCCTCACCCCACCAGACCCAACCTACACCCTGAGAACCTTAACAAGGGTGAAATACCAAACAAATAACCTAAAGGAAAGAAACAACACTGATGAATGGGAAGAAATCAGCGAAAGACTCAGGAAATAACTGAAGCAACCAAACGGAAACGCACACCCCCAAAACAGAGGAGCCACCAGCACCTAGAAATGGACACCCAAAACAAAAATCAGCAACCAATATGCACAGAGAGAGGAATTTCGTATTGATCATGAGAAATCACCCACCAACCAAGCAACTCAACAACACCAACACAAAGAAACGACAAAAGCCTCAGGATATGGAAGAATAACACAATGAAGAAAAGGTAACAAACCCTGAAATGAAAATACATTCCAAGGAACTACAAATATACAGTGGACAAGTCTCAAGAACAGGGTAGATCAACAGAAGAACCAAATCTCAGATGCTTGAAGATACACCCTCCCAATTAAATACCCCAACAAGTCCACAGAAGATAGAGCAAGAACAACAAAGAGCAAAGCAACAAGAGCTGTGGAATATGTGAAGAAACTAATGCGCAGGGTCATAGGGTTACCAAAGAAGCGGGAAGAAGACAACACTCAAGGTTGGACAAGCTGTATGAAGAATCATAGAGGAAAACTTTCCCAGGCCTTGCTTCAAAACTGGATAACAAGTCAAGAAGAGAGGACCCCTGGGAGAATTCAAATGCAAACAGGAAGACGTCACGACATGCCAGTCATCACACTGACCCAAAAGTATCAACAAAGAGGCCCTTCACTAAAGTGTAAGACAAAGAAGCAAGTACAGTACAAAGGGAAACGCCCAATTCGAATAACATGCAGACTTCTCTAATGAGACTTTACCACAAGAAGACTGGGCCCGCCCATTGTCAGCTCTTTTGAAACAAACACATGCCAGCCTAGAATATTATTCCCTGCAAAACTAGCTTCATGAAATGAAGGGAGAATAAACATTCTCAGAAAAGCAAAGGCTCAGAGAATTCACCAAGACAAGACCAGCCCTACAAGAAGTACTTAAAAGAGCATTACGTACGGAACATCATAATAATAACCCACGAATATAAAAACAACCTAAACCCAAAGATATTAAAGGCCAGATATTACAATGGCTCAAGACAGAAACCATAGCAACAACATCCAACTCAACAGAATGAACAGTAATCTACCTTACCTATCAGTTCTCTCAATAAATGTGAATGGCTTACTCTCCACTCAAGAGACACAGGCTGGCTGAATGAATAACAAAATACAAGCCAAGTATATGCAGTCTTCAGGAAACACATCTAACCTGCAAGGATACATATAGACTAAACATAAAAGGGTGGAGATCAATATTCCAAGCAAATAGAAGCCAAAAGAAGGTGTGTGCAGTCTAATTTCGACGATTTAGTTTAAAACACAATAAGTAGTGAAAGACAAGAGCGGTCCATTATGTATGGTGAGGCCAGATCAACAAGAAAGATAACATTTAATATACTACACCCAACTTAGACACCCAGATCATAAACAAACCTGACTGAGCTAAGCCAAAGATTAAATAGCACCCATATACGACCGAATATTTCCACACCTCCAACTTCGACGCACGAGGCAGATCCCTCAAAAAAAATTAAAAGAATAATGACTTAAACAAAACTCTAACAATGTGTCTGACTGAC